GAGTTCAAGACCAGCCAGGCCAACATAGCAAGACCCTGTCTCTATGAAGATGGCTCCGTCTGTGGCCCAGGCAGGAGTGCAGTGAGGCCATCACAGCTCACTGCAGCCTTGACCTCCCGGCTCAAGCGATCCTCCCACCTCAGCGTCCTGAGTAGCGGGGACTACAGTTATGCACCGCCATACCCAGCTTATTATTTAAAGTGTTTCTGCAGAGACAGGGTCACATGTTGCCCAGGCTGGTCTTGAACTCTTGAGCTCAGGTGATCCTCCCATCTCAGCCTCCCAAAGTGCCAGAATTGCAGGTACGAGCCACCACCTCCAGCCTCTACAAAAATTTTTTAAAAATTAGCTGGGCAGCCGGGCGCGGTGGCTCATGCCTGTAATCCAAGCACTTTGGAAGTCAAGGCAAGGTGGATCACCTGAGGTCGGGAGTTCAAGACCAGCCTGACCAACATGGTGAAACCCTGTCTTTACAAAAATAAATAAATAAATAAAATAAAAAAAAATATATATATATATAAATAAATAATTTTTTAAAAAAACTAGCCGGACATGGGCACACAGCTGCGGTCCCAGCTAGTCGGGAGGTGGAGGTGGAGGAAGAGCTGAGCCCCGGAGGCAGAGGCTGCAGTGAGCTGACCGCACCACTGCACTCCAGACAGAGCAGCAACAGAGCCAGATCCTGTCTCAAACACAAAACAAAACAGAACAAAACAACTCCCCGGTGCGGTGGCTCACGCCTGTGATCCCAGCACTTTGGGAGGCCGAGGCAGGTGGATCACTGAGGTCAGGAGTTTGAGACCAGCCTGGCCAACATGGAGAAACCCTGTGTCTACTAAAAATACAAAAATGACCCAGGCGTGGTGACAGGCGCCTGCAGTCCCAGCTACTTGGGAGGCTGAGGTGGGAGAATCGCTTGAACCCAGGAGGCAGAGGCTACAGTGAGCCAAGCCTGAGCCACTGCCCTCCAGCCTGGGTGACAAGAGCAAGACCCTGTCTCAAAAAGAAATGAACAAACCTCTCGGGGAATGAAGGGAACATCTACTCTTGCTAAGGTACGGGCTGTTGGTCTGCCGTGTGGAGTTGACCAGCCGACCCGTTCTTTCTAGCCCGCTGCAGTGCAGGCACAGGAAAAGCCAGGCATGGTCCCACCAGCACCCGCACAGAGAAACGCCCCGCCCGAGGCCTGTAGGGATGGAAGAAGGGGAGGAGCCTCTGGGGCCTGGGCCAGGAGAGGAGACAGCGGGCCGGGGGTGTCCCCCAGCTGCGGCGACAGTCTAAAGCTACAATCCTCAGCCTGCGCCAACAGCAGGGAGAGGGAGCCCTGCGCAGCTTCCCGATCAAGCCCTGCCTTCAACATCATTCATTCGTTTGTTCATTACTGAACACCTACTGTGTGCAGGCCCCTGCAAACTACTGATGATTCAACCATGACCAGTCACCTGCCCTGGTTCCAGTCCCTGGGAACATGTAGGGGGAATGTCCACGGAGCACAGACCCACCCAGGGTCCTGGCAAGTCGGGGGAAACGTCCACGGAGCACAGACCCACCCAGGGTCCCGGCAAGTGGGGGGAAACGTCCACGGAGCACAGACCCACCCAGGGTCCC